GCCAAAAAGATCTTTAATCGTATTGTAAAGTTCGCTTTGAACTGCCAACAAATTTGACAGGACATTTTTTAAAGCAATTGAATGGATCCACAAGAGAGAGAATCCTTTGGCTTTTCAAAGTTATACGTTTTTCTTTAGATTAAAATAGTCTCTCGTACATGCGGACACAAAACTATTAATTATTTATATGTCGCTCAGTTACTTGCTTTTAAGGACATGTGTCCCTCCACGATAGATGCGTAGATAATGTAACGGTTAGCAACGTAGAAAGTGAAATCGGCATGACGTGTTCACTTTCCGGTCAGTTCCATTTATTTCACTTCGTGCTAATGACCCTAGTGACGCGTTAAATAGCAGAGCAGAGTTGGCTCTCTTAACCTGATGTGGGCAACCAGTTTAGGAGAAAGAAAACTCTGAATCACAAACCAGTATAAATAAAAATCGGTTTCGTCAGGCAACCTTGCACAAGATACACCACCGCTACTATGGCGCCCCTACGACGGGACTCGTAACGTGGCCCTTCAGGACGTGGATAATCAGGGTTCTACGTGGATTCTTTTACTTGATTATCTGTGAATTGACATGCATTCTTAGGAAACATAATTCAGTGGTTTCCCGTTGCCTTCTCAAAAGACGATAAACTACATCCGGCAGCAAGGCCTCTGGTCGGGAGATTGGAGGTTTTGAGGAGCGTGGAACCACCTCTTAATTGTTTTTGTACCAAGGTCCACCCTGACCCGGGGTGGTAGCACCTGTTAGGGTCCCAGCTTTGGGCAAATAGTTACTCTGCTTAACTGGGGTAAAAAAAAATATGAAAGTATATACATTTTTATAGTAAAAATACTAGCAATATATTTTCATAGTTACAAAAATTAACAACAATACATTTAAAAAAAAAAAAAAAAAAAAAAAAAATCATGCTCGACCAGAAAATTAAATTTTGGCATTAAATAACCCATAAGAAGTTGGTATCCCGCTAAAATAAAAATCAAACAAACCTTCTTAACGGTTTTCCTTCTCTTAGACTGGTGCATTCCAAGCTAGATAGACCAGTTTACTTTGCTATTTAACCCTTAGCTAAGGGGATAAGAGACGGTTTTATGTCTTTCCCAGGAATATTAGCACGAAGTTGAAAGCAGTAGATTCTGTTGAAATTTGGACTCGGATTGCCTATTCCACTTTTCAGCACCGATATAAATTACATTAGCTACACTAGTTATTTACTTAGCAAAGTTTAATTCTGTCACAAAGCCAAAATTATAAGAGACACAAATCTATTATTTATGATTCGCAAGGAAAAGTTTAACGTGATGATACCAAGATGTGGCACCCCCCTGATAGATGCCATTATTCAGCAAGAAAGAAGAAAAAAATTATTTGATAATCAACTACTTGTAAAATTTACAGTGCTAAATGAACATTAATGTTCACTTCTGTAATGTCGGTGTGCCTGTTTTTTTAATTTATCGATTTAATATTTGGAAAGCAAACAAGCGCCCAACAATTCAGGTCGCATTAACAATGATTTATTTCGGTAAATAAAATCGATTAAACATAGGCACAGTTTATTTATCTTAGTTTTTATTGAGAGACATTTACAAAGTTTATTTCGGCGTCCCTTTCCTTTCTATGTTAGTCATCCTAATTTTTATCCAGTACGGTTTGAAAATGCTAATGTTTGTCTTCAGTATATGCAAACATTATTTACTATTCGGGCCAAATTATGGTAATGAGTGTATGAAGACGAGGAGGTAAGAAAGGCAGTTTATGATGTTTAGAACTGATGATGGTTAATACTAGATTTGAAGTGGTTACGGTTGGAGTAATTGGGGAAGCATAATCTCGGGAGTTTTTTCCACAATGTGATGGACCTTGGAAAGACACTGTCTGAATATAACTTCCTTCTTACCATTGGGATACGAAGGGAATGAGGATGATTCGACCCTGTGTAAGTGGCATGGTGTGTCTTAGCTGTGAAGGTCACAACTGGTGCAACTAAGGAATATAGCGCGTCTGAACAGTTGTCATTAGAATAGCGACAGAGTGGCATGAAGATAGCGACATTAGGAAAGAGGCGGTAGGGTGGAAAATAATTAATCACCCACAAGGCCGCGTAGACGTTTTTAAACTCTATCAAAACTAGGAAGTGAAAACTGTACATCTCCAGTCCAGATATGGCAGCAGTACTCCATTTTAGGCTTGACCTGACTCTTGTAAAGACAGTGCATAGCAGGAGGAGTCAGATGCTTACTGGAGGAGTACAAGGAACTGTCCATATTCCCAGCAATAGCAGTGGATCGTATATACGAGTTGCTCTTGACGTCTGGAGTGAACTTGAGTCCTCAAAGGCGTTCAAGACAAGAACTTGAGAGAACTACAGGCCATCATTATTGGCAAAAATTCAGGCTCTGCTCAGTGATAGTAGAACGTTACTAATTTTGGTTTTGAATGCATTGAATATTACCAGCCAGTTGTCCCCATTGATCCAGGTCAGAGGAGAGATCAGCTGCGGTATATATATATATATATATATATATATATATATATATATATATATATTAAGACATTTTTATATTTTTATGTTTAATATTCTTTTCATAGATACAAATATTTAAGTAAATGCTCTGTTTATAATAAACAGTATTAAGCAACATTTACCGGCCTGAATGTCCGAGAAATTTTCACAGAAAATATTCGTCCTCCGACAGGATTCGACATTCAGGCCGGTAAATGTTGTTAATTACTGTTTATTATAAACAAAGCATTTACTAAAATATTTGTATCTATAAAAAGAATGTTAAACATAAAAATATCTTAAAATAATTGTCGGACTTTGTCCATTTCATAATGTGTGACGTCATTTGTTTACATTTTATACGCCATGAGCAGATATGAATGTACGTGAGAGATTCATGGAAGATTTAAATAGAGTAAATTCGATCTTGCTAACCGAACGCTCCTTCGTGGCCAAATCGGTTAAGTCATGTCAAGCTAAATGACGGTTCCGTATAGGATACAGGTTCGAATGCTGTCGGAGGACGAATATTTTCTGTGAAAATTTCTCGGACATTCAGGCCGGTAAATGTTGTTTAATACTGTTTATTATAAACAGAGCATTTACTTAAATATTTGTATCTATGAAAAGAATATTAAACATAAAAATGTCTTAAAATAATTGTCGGACTTTGTCCATTTCATTATATATATATATATTTGCTAGACAGTCGGAGTGTGCGGCAGTATATTCGTTTACTATTCTGTGCAGAACTCTGTGCCCCAACATTTATGCATATTAGAAGCGGTCTATATCAAATTACATCAATCGTCTCTGTGCAGACAGAAGGTGCATTTTGTTCGTTCTCTAGGTTTTTAGGAGGAATGCGACTTAATTTTTTCCATTTTATACTCACTAGGGACCCTTTACATTATATCTTTTGCAAGTATATGTTTTTTCTCCCCCTTGTTTTTATTAATAAATTTTTATTTTAGTCGTGGTTCTTTTTTTTTCTCCTTATATTTTTCTTATCTTGCAGGGCGACTTGTCATTCTGTCAATTTAAGGTTTATCAACGTATTCTTCTGACGGCGTGTTGTTTGAAAGTGATCTTTAAAGAAGAATGCTTTCCTTTTTTTTAAAAGATGCTTAGGTTTGAATTCGTTTTAACTACAATTTTAAATTTTAAATATAAGTTTAAAATATTTTCACTGTTATTCCAATAGACTTTTTCCTTTTTTTTTTTTTTTAAATATTATTTTAAGGAAAATTTTTGACAATGACGGCATATAATAGCTATTTCATTTCTCTGATTCAGTAAATTTTTATTTTTTTATAAACTTAGTAATATATAGTTTCTCGTGTATGCATAGAGGACAAGGGTCGTTTAATGACCTACAGATTCTAGCTTTTCTTATTAACTTCCATTTTACTGTAGGTGTTTTATTTGATTCTTTTAGATGCCAGAAATATTTTGAGAGAGATGTTTGATTTTTATATCTATTTAAAAATTAAAAATGAGAATATTTCAAATCGTAGTTAAATAAAAAGTATTATGATCTGAACACCCCCGAAAATCTTTAAATTTATAAATAGAAAAAAATGCCGTAAGAATTTTTTTACCGTTAAAAATAATTAAAAAAAAATCCAGACGACATGCATTGAACGGATGTCAGTTTTCATTGAAAAATACATCCCTACCCCTTGATATTTTTATTTTTACTAAAATAGTGCTCAATGTAAATTTACAGAGCATTAATATTATAAATTAACTGATTTAAAATATGTTTTTTCGTTACACAGTAATAACCATTTTAAAAAATGGAAGCTAAAAGGTTCAAATTTAATTTTGTAATTAAATTAAAAACGTTAGTTCCATTTCATCCTCAAGCGAATTTTGGAGTAACTTATTTTTTGAATTTACAGTTTTAAAGGCAACTAAAAATTCATAATTCACTGTTTCCAAGGATACAGAGAAATCCAATCATTCAGACAAGGGGTGGTAGCGTGTTCATTTTTATTAACTTTTGTTGTATCAGTTATTAGTTACGTTCGAAAAAGGGGTTATGTAGGGGTAGGGGTAGGGATGTGTTTTTCAACGAATTCTGACATGCATGTCGTCTGGGTTTTTTTTTTGTAGCGAAAAAAACATATTTTAAATCAGTTAATTTAATATATATATATATATATATATATATATATATATATATATATATGATAAGCAAATATAAATGGATATAAATATTTTCTTCATATATATATATATATATATATATATATATATATATGCGCGCTAATAAAATTTCAACTTAGGGTTAAAAACATAAAAAAAAGACTAAACTCATAGATAATCTTGTTCGTTGATTCCATCCACTAACTTAAAATCAGGATTCCAATCCAAATTCCAAAGGGTGTGTGTTTAGTAGAATGGTACAGAACCTGGAGTCATTATAAACAGATTTGTTTCAAATTGAAGGCGCACTAACGTGCGATTTCTTATCTTCAGCATGGTTATTCGTTTCCGAGCATGTCCATCTATTCAGGCCTATCTGTTTAGGCTCATCTGTTCAGGCCCATCTGTTCAGGCCCATCTGTTCAGGCCCATCTGTTTAGGCCCATCTGTTCAGGCCAACCTCTTCAGACCTGTTTATTCAGGTCTATCTGTTCAAGCCCATCTATTCTGGCCCATCCGTTCAGGCCCATCTATTTTAGCCCAACTGTTCAGCCCCATCTATTTTGTTCCAACTGTTCAGGCCCATCTATACAGCGCCCCCCTTTTTTATCAAAACCCACAGAGCCAACCTGTGTCTTGGACTGCAACTATAATGAACGAAGTATGTACCTCATCCGGGCTACATACGGTTTTTAATTAAGAGTTGCCTTTTTCCAAGTCTGGTTGGCAACAACAGATAGAGGCTTCAATCGGCACTGATATTTAACTGGTAGTTCGGAGGAGAAAGATATGGATTTATACTTTTGCAATCCTATTTGTGCGAACGTGAATATAACAATCTCGACTAGAAATCGAACGCAGCTCGCCGATTTCTCGTTTCGAACCTCTAACCGTTACACCGTCTGCATAGCCACAAAACACTGTGAGCTCAGTTCAAATTCAGTCTAGACTGTTGTGTTTACTTTCACTCTTGTCAAAGTCATACATTCATTTTCTTTTTATCCCTCCAGCTAAATAGTAGGGTAGATTTGACTCTCTAGCCTTGGTTGGTAACCGGTATAACAGAAGAATTATTTTGAATAAAAAAAAAACATCTGTCTATATTTCTGAGATGAGATATTCTGTACAGTATTTACATTAGTCGGACTATTGTCCTCGATCACCATATTTGTCACAACGTTTCGGCCGTTGTACGCTCAGCCTTCTTTGGTTGGAATTTCAGACTGAACCCTTTATTTTCGATCACTGGGGTAGAGCTGTTTCTATGCCATGTTTGATGGATGTCAGTTATCAGTTATCTCCTCTCCTGCTGCCTTAATAACCAACGCCTTTATCCACTGTGCCATGTGTCCTGTGACAGACCCAAAGAAGGTGAGTTCAATACCTGGTTAAGGCAGTGGAGAACTTTCAGAGGGAAAAATTAGCAGGAGATAACTGATAACTGACATCCATCAAACATGGCACGTGGAACTAGAACAGTCTACCCTAGTGATCGAAATAAAGGGTTCAGTTCGAAATTCCAACCACCTGAAGAAGGCCGGAGCGTACAACGGCCGAGACGTTGTGACAAATATGGCGACAAAGATGAGGACAATAGTCCGACTAATGTAAATACTGAAAAAAAAAAACATGGAGAAATTACTTCATTGTCTTTCGCGGCTATTCATGGAAGCTGTAGTGAGCCATGATTTCATACGTCCTAAAAGAACATGGTTTTAAAAAATCAGTACATATCAGGTTTGTTAATTAACAAGTGAAATATGCATTAATTATTCCATTTTAACGAATTGATGGACCGCCATGGATTTGCTTGAACGGCAAATCTGATAAGCGACACCTACAATGAATTTTGCCTTTGTTCTAAATATATTCACCTTCTTATTGTTATTGCTATAAACTAGCATATACGCAAACATGTAACGATTCATCTGTTCTCTGACACATAAACTTGACCAATTATGGCGTGTCATTTTTCTGCTATTCAAAATATAATTAAATTATTTACAATGTAAAGATTTCAACGGCATATGAGAAAGACACGCCAAAGGAGGACCAAACTCTACACAATTTTGGCCAAATACCAACTAAATTTCCTTCCTAATTATTTTTTTTTTCATATTTGTTTTTATATTTGTTTCTATTTTCTTGGTTTCAAGTTCGTATTTGAAATATTTTTGAATGTTTGATTACTTTTGCGTGCCGTTAACCATGATCATTTTTTTTGTTATTTTGTTGGTTTCATTTTTAAATATCGCGTTTTGCGTGAAAGTTCATACATATATATATATATATATATATATATATATATATATATATATATATAGGGAGAGAGAGAGAGAGAAAAAGAGAAAGAGAGAGAGATTAGCAAAGGTATAAAGTAATCAACTCCTAAGGAGGTATGTTAAAAGGTACATCAATAAAAAAAAAAGAGCTCAATGTCATAATGGCAGAGCTGACGCCGGAAAAGAATTAATAAAATTATATATATATATATATATATATATATATATATATATATATATATATATATATTGACGCCAGGTTCCAGACAAAAAAACAAAACAAAACAAAAAAAAAACATTAGAAAAAAAAATTAGAAATTTTGGATGTAGCAGAAATAGATCACGATTTATGAAGAGAGAATATTCAATTCATCTCACTTGGCTTGGTTAAAACTCAAAAACCTTCCAGTTTGTATTTCTTGAAAACGAAACTTTGCAACAGGTCGTAGTCTGTCAAATGAAAAATGCAAACTCGTCTACATAAACCAGCGCCAAAGTCAATCGACTTCTTTTTATTCAAAGAAATAACCGAAACTCCCAGACACAATTGAAACTATATGCTAGTTTCTCAAAGTCAATTTTTCTATAGTGATTTGCTAAGCGCAGCTTAAATGTGTTATAATGCCGAAAGTATGAGGCACCTAGTGTGGATCCAATTCGCTATTCAGTCGTAATTGATCTAGCGAGACAATTTGTTAACCATTTAAGCACATAGAAGTACATTTTCTATATCTGATAAATGTTTATGGATACGAAGATTTCAATAAGATATAGTCATACCCGTGAAAAATTCACCATTTTGCTATTTAAATTGAAGACAAATCATAATTCTTAATAACAGAAGCTCTCACGAATATTCCCTTATTGTTTAGTTAAATATTTGAGCTTAACAAGAAAATATTAAAATAGCAACAAGTATTAATGCACGTCATTATAAATATAAGAGTGAACATAGAAATCAACATTTAGAGGCGACAGTCTGTTTCATGCTAGACGCGATTGCGTGTAGCATGAAACAGACTGTCGCCTCTAAGTGTTGACTTTATGTTCACTTCTATTTATATTTACATAATCTATCTCTGATATTTAGCACTTTATCCCATAAATATAAGCACACCTTAAACTATATATATATATATATATATATATATATATATATATATATATATACAGTGGAACCCGGATATAAGAGACCTGGATATAAGAGAGATTTTCTCTGGTCCCAAATTAGAGCCTGTGTTAATGTATATAAATAGACCAAACCCAGATATAAGAGAAACCCGGATATAAGAGACTTCTTCTCCGGTCCCGACAACTCTCTTATATCCGGGTTACACTGTATATACAATATAGACTATATTTCTACATGTTATTATATAAAGAAATAAGAAGGTACAAATGAAAAAATTTAAAAATTTACAAGCTTTTCCCTGTCACTGAAACAGACGTTAAACCCGTAAGAAGGTTATTGACTCTTTCTTTCTTTCTTTCTTTCTTTCTTTCTTTATTTTCCCTAAAATCAAACATCGCCTTTAATATATATTTCCTCCCGTTTTTGTGGTCAAGGGACAGGCCAACGGATTAAAGGATTACTCTCTGGTTTATCAGAGGCAATGAAAGGGCGTAATGTGCTGAGGAACAAAGGAACGATCAAAATTATCAGATGATGTTTTACTATTAACAGATACATCCATAAAAATCGACTTGCACAGTTTAATGTACGTAAATTTGTAAAAATGTTAGTAAATTGTAGTTAAAAATTTTATTTCAGTCATTGAAAGTTTATTTACTTTATTATTTGTGACCCTGACTAATTACAAACTCCTATCTTCCATCAATCACTGGCACTACCCGATGTTCGCGGTCTCGAACATTTTTTTTTTATTCATAACGAAGTAGCAAAAAAAAAACAATCTTTCCAATCGCCCTTTAATATTGGTCTATTGTATGTATACTTCAGTTGGGTGATTGCAAAATTTACATTTCATGGATTACAACGTCATTACATTAAAAAAGAAATCAAAACCTGTTATCGAGTCGCTTTTGGCGGTACAGAAAGTATATATATATATATATATATATATATATATATATATATATATATATATATATATATATATATACACTAGACTCGACTCTTCCGTCGTTTTCGTCCAGCAGTTCAGTTCTTAGAACCGAACAGCCAAACTAGCCACATTTGATTATAATGGTGAAGGCTTGTGCAGAACCCACCACACTTTTCGGAAGAACCAAATGCAGAGAACTGGGTAGGGGGTACATAATGGGTTATCTTTCTTCTAAACTGGCTACCAACCAAGGCTAAAGAGCCCAGTCTACCTTACTAAAAGCATGTTTGCTCATAACTTGTCACCTAACATAATTGGGCGGAGAGGAACAAATGTATTCGTGCCTTTCCTAACGGTATTTGCGCATAAGCGAATGCAAGAAACTCGACTGGATTTAGAACTCAGCACGCCAATTTCTCATTCCGAGTCGCTAGCCATGATACCACCCGCACATCTATACCAAACCTATCTATCTATCTATCTATCTATCTATCTATCTATCTATCTATCTATCTATCTATCTATCTATGGAAGACCGGTCAATTTTAACAAAACTGTTTAAATGAATTCTTGCTGCTTAAATATATACATATTTAGTTGTGTCGTGGAGGGGGCCACTGATACTAATAAAAAAACAAAAAAACATTATATTGTTTCAAATTATGTACCGTTGAACCGATGATCTTAAAATTAATTATAGTTTTATTCCTTTTCCTTAAGGACCTAATTCTAGTTGTTTATTTTGGATAATACAAAAGAACAAAGTCTAGAAATATACAGTTCATGTTGATTATTATTATTTTTATTAATTAATGAATTATTATTATCGAATTATTATTATCGAATTATTATTATCGAATATTCATTTCTTGTTCAAAGTATGACAGGATAAAAAGTTGGAAGTGGCTTTTCCTGCGTGTGTAGCTAAAGTTTCGACAATTGGAAATTATTTTGCCTTTGTGGCATTTGACCAGGTCTGACATTAATTAATCTTCACCATTGTGGGTCGTGTTAATAGTTAATGTTGTTAGGGGTTGGCGTTTATTATTATTATTATTATTATTATTATTATTATTATTATTATTATTATTATTATTATAAGGGCTGCAATTATTGTAAAATGTCTTTGCATTTGAAGAAGGATATCCTTGAAAAAAAAATGGCAGTACTCGGAAAGAACAGACAATGGAACAATTAACAGAAATACCTTGTCAGTATTTCTAATGAAACATCTATCTATCTATAACTTGCCACCTAACATAACTGATACTGATAAAAAAAACATTATATTGTTTCAAATTATGTACCGTTGAACCGATGACCTTAAAATTAGTTATAGTTTTATTCCTTTTCCTTAAGGACCTAATTCTAGTTGTTTATTTTGGATAACTGATTATTATTATTTTTATTAATTAATGAATTATTATTATCGAATTATTATTATCGAATATTCATTTCTTGTTCAAAGTATGACAGGATAAAAAGTTACACTAGTAAGTGGTTGTGCCATCTAATCTATGAGAATAGATTTCTCTCGTTACGTTGTCCAAGGATATCTATCTATCTATCTATCTATCTATCTATCTATCTATCTATCTATCTATCTATCTATCTATCTCAATATGCTCCTATCTATCTATATACATTAATTACGTATGTCTTATTTTTGTACCGTATTGCTTAGTTTCATACATATAGTTTCATCTTCTGTTTTAATAGATAATTTAGCTCTGTTCTTTAACATCAAGCACCGTGTTATATATATATTGTATTTTGGGTTGCAAATTCTCATTAATGCACATTTGGTTGAAGATCAACGAAAATTCTTCGTTTTTTTTCTTCAGTTCCTGTTTCCGAGCAGAGTTTGAACATAAATTGTACGTTTTCTGAGGCTTCCATAAACCATTACCAAAATTTTTTTTATGACCCAATTAAGTGTCGATAGTTATATATTGTTGTGTATCAGTAGAGTTGTGTCTATACTTATACAGTGTAACCCGGATATAAGAGAGTTGTCGGGACCGGAGAAGAAGTCTCTTATATCCGGGTTTCTCTTATATCCGGGTTTCTCTTATATCCGGGTTTGGTCTATTTTATATACATTAACACAGGCTCTAATTTGGGACTAGAGAAAATCTCTCTTATATCCGGGTTTCTCTTATATCCGGGTCTCTTATATCCGGGTTACACTGTACATAGTTTGGTAATTATGTTTCAAGGATCGTGTATTCACGTGTCAGAATTTTTTTTCGTAACGATTTTGCAAATTTTTTTCCCGTTGGTCTATTTTTCCCTTGATCTTAAACCAAAAGTGAATATATATATATATATATATATATATATATATATATGTATATATATATATTCATACATGCATACATGTGTGTGTATGTGCGCGTGTGTGTATGTTCGCGTGTGTGTGTATGCAACGTGAAACTTTTAAAATTCAAGTTTAAGAAAAATATCTTGCAAAGGTTCAATATTTTTTGCTTACCTGCAAAAAGAAAAGAACAAACGCTGTTAAGCTGAGTATAAATACGTGTAAATTATCACTGGAAACATCCTATTTGAAAATCTCAGTTAGATCTAGGTTGACCAGAAGACGTGTCTGAACTGTGATTGGTCCGTGGACAGTGGTCAGACTACCAAGTTTTTGAAACGATCTAAAGACAATGAAGGGCAGAGTGTGCCATATTATTTAACTTTTGACAGCATTATATTTTGTTCAACTGGTTTCAAGTATTTAAAAAAAACAAACAAACTAAATATAATATTATTGAACGAATCAATACCAGTCTTATCAAGGTCATCAACTGAGAATTGGCATTATTTTCAAGCGTATTTATATGTAAAAATTGTTTGGAGCATTTGCGCGTGCGCGAAATGACCACATATTCATATGTTGTTGCAAGGGATGATGATAGGGGTGAAAAGAAAAATCGATGAATGATATCGGAGCTTAGAAAATTGTTATATAAGAAGGTAAAATTAATGTGTGTTATTTCAAGGACAGAAATTTCTTTTAATTAATAACAAAAGCAGAGACTAAGTTCAGTTTAGTGCGAATGACATTTAAAAAGGCAGCAGCTGCAATGGAGTCGCAGTTTAAAAAGAGACACTAACACACAAAAAAAACCCAACTTTGGTCTGATTAACGTTTGTAAACAAGTAGAGTTTAGATACAAGTTTTAAACAATTGTTTAATTTACCTACACTTCATTCAAAGGAAACAAAATCTAAACATTTACTTTGGCTTGTTAACTACGTGTCATCAATCGACTTTGGTTCAATATTTGGCCATAGCTGGGGCCCTAACAGGTGCGACCACCACAGGTCAGGGTGGACCTGGGAACAACAGCATTTAAGAAATGGCTCAACGTCCCTCAAAACCTCCAATCTCTCAATCAGAAGACTTGCTGCCGTATGTAGTTTATCGTCATACCCAGGACGGTTGGGTGGGGGTCGTGTTTACTATACTAAAATTTCATCAGAATCTGAGATGATGTCCATGGGATCATTGGTTAATTTGATATGGAATAACCTAGAATGTTGTTTAGTTTTGTGGCTAACGCGTGTCACTACAGACGCAAAAGAGGCCCCGAGTCGCGTGCAGACATGTCTGTCGAAGTTAGTGACATTCAAGTTTTCTCAGTTACCAGCAGAACAGCTTGGTATATCCAGATACAGGCCTCTCTGTAACTTGTCCCGATCCGGATCGGAGTCAATTGTCAATAAAAGCGACGGGTAAACCAACAGTCAGCAGTGGGCAGTTGGCGAGATTCGCTTTGCTATCGTCAGAGATTTGATACCTTGTGAAGAAGTTCCCTTCGGACATTTTGTTCCGGAAGTTGCTTGCCGCCCGCAGTGCTGTGGTTTCCGAAAGCGGTAGCCTCGTAAGATATTGCTCATTTTTATTTTGTTTCCTTCCGTCTCTTCCCCTTCTCTGCCTTTTTCCCCACTTAATTGTTGATAACAATGGGTTAAGTGTTTCCCCCAACCTCAACACACCCTTGCCTTATTTTACAAATTTCATTTTAAAGACTCTTAAATTAAAAAAAGAAAAAGAAAATGCAGAGCATCATAAAGTTTTTGATATTTTAAAAGGCGAATGTAATTCAGTCAGTTATGTGCCATACGTGATACACGCTTAGACGATCATGTATCTTTCGATACATGACTGACAGGGCAGATATTTTTCCCGCTGTAGGTTGTCATTTTTTTCTGCCGTAGACCAGTTGGCAACCCGGTCTGTCCTGCTATTTACCCATAGTTGGTGGGGTGAGGTTAAGAGGATTCACACCTTTCCCAAGGGTATTAGCACATAAGTGAATGTAATGGATTCGACCGGAATTCGAACTCGACTCTCCGATTCCTCAATCCATTACTCCTCCGGGAAAAACTAGAAGAGGATTCATACCTTTCCCAAGGGTATTAGCACGAAAGTGAATGTAATGGATTCGACCGGAATTCGAACTCAACTCTCCGATTCCGCAATGCGAGTCACTGCCTATTACTCCACCGTACTTAAATGTTAATCGTAACCAAATGCAGTTCATAAGGTTCTACAGATAATTAAAATTTTGTCGACGATCTCGCAAACATGCGCGATTCTCATTAAAAATCAGTTATATTTAAATACGTGTTCATAACACGTCTTTTGTCAATAAATAAAACAGAAAAGCTTGAGAAGCAAGGCAATAAAACAATTAACTTTACATTTCTTAAGCCAAAGGCCGTAAAGATGTCACTGAAATTAGTGAAACTTACTGATCTTCACATGATTGGTTATTATTCTTCTTTTATGTGCCAAGTCCCTTTAGGACATTGGCGATCATGGCTCTCCACAATTTCCCGTTCTTTGTAGTTCTAAATAAATTTTGTTTTTTTATTATCTTTCCTAAACCTTGCCCCACTATCCATTTACTCAAGCTCGCTAGGTTGGTTATGCGTTGTTTTCCTCAGTCACACTTGCCTTTAATCTGCCGTGTGAGTATCAGATTTTCCTAGCCCTCTTTCTTTATTATATGACCTAGCGACAAACTTAAAATATGTTTGTGTATATAGTCTAGCTAAAATAATTATATATCTTCTTCTTCTTCTTCTTCTTCTTCTTCGCTTCTTCTTCTTCGCTTCTTCTTCTTCGCTTCTTCTTCTTTTCTTCTTCCTCTTCTTCGCTTCTTCGCTTCTTCTTCTTCTTCGCTTCTTCGCTTCTTCTTCTTCGCTTCTTCTTTTCTTCTTCTTCTTTTCTTCTTCGCTTCTTCTTCTTCGCTTCTTCTTCTTCTTCGCTTCTTCTTCTTCTTCTTCTTCTTCTTCTTCTATATGACGTATCAATTCAGGACGTTGACAGTCATGTCTCTCCACAATGTCCTGTCCATTGTAGCTTTAAATAAATTTTATCTTATCTTATACGTTGTTTTCCACTGTCCCTCTTGCCTTCAATTTGTCGTGTGAGTATCAAATTTTTCAAGCTCACCTTCTTCATTATGCACCCTAGAAACTTTAACTCTCTCTCTTTATAATGTTAAATATAAGGGTGCTTTTTGTTTCTATTTTATCTAAAACTTCCGCTTTGCTCACATATTCAGTACATAGTATCCTCTTCATTCTTCTGTACATTATTAAACGTGGACTATTAACACCATCTTTGTTGTTCTTATCGCATAGGTGATTGTTGATCCGGATAGCCGTCAAGGAATTTCGAACAGTACCCTTTATTTTTTTAAGCAATTCGTCCCAAGAAAGGCGGGAGTACCAGTAGCACACAAGGGGTTACAGAGAGTGAGAGTAAGAGTAAAGAGGAGTGTTTGGGAAAAGGATAAAGAGAAGGACAGGGATCAAGGCCAAGGCATCAGAAGATATCGATTGACATTACATTTGAATATTTGAAGATTATAGCTATCAGGGAAGCAAGTGATAGGAAGGGAGTTCCACTGACGGGAGGTTCCAGAAAAGAAGCTGTTGTAGTGGAAGAGATGGCTATATTTGGTCATTTCGACAGTGGAAAGGGTGGGACCGAGATGCCAAACTTAGTAGCGCGCTTAAATTCATGCAATTTGGGAAGCAGTGAAAGTAGCTCGTCGGAGCAATTGCCACTAAAGTACTTGTAGAAAAGACAGAGGGAAGCTGCAGCACGTGAGATAGCAACTGCCGACGGGGATGCCAGATCAGGACCAACCACGTTGCATATCGGTCTCTGGATTTTGTCTAGGACCTCAAGATGAACAGCAGGAACACCAGACCATATATGGCAGCAGTATTCCATGCGCGGATAGATGGTTGATTTGTAGATTTGAAGGATGAACTCCGGTGAGAAAAAAACTTCTGGCGTGACACAGAGAACCAACTTTCCTTGCGGTAGATGAAGCTATAGATTTAATGTAGCTGTTCCACTTCAGGTCAGTGGTCAACGTGCCAGTTAACCACTGATTGGGGGTCTTTTTCTAGAGTAGTTGCCAGGTTTACATTGTTGGGTCTGTCGGATTTGTAAGTAAGACACTAGTAAATGGTTGTGCCATCTAATCTACAAGAATAGATTTCTCTCGTTCCATTGTCCAAGGATATCTCGTCTAGTTCTTATTTATGTACTACTCCATTACCGTTCACTCCGTATTAATTACATATTGTTCGTCCCAGGGACTGAACATGCAATTACTATATTGTCAAATTAACGAAGCGACGCTCAAATGGGACAATTCTGAGGGGAGAACTTGGAGCCTTAAACCGCAGCTGCCGGCTGATGAATACTGTTGATGCTATTTGTCACGCTTGACTGCATTCACTCAAGCTTTATTTTTTTTTAATTACAGCTGCTAATGCCAACGTTGATGTTTTGCCACTGCTTGTCTTTCTTTTTGCGTCCAGTATGTCCTGTGAGTGTAAATCACCTGAAGAAGGCCGGAAGGTAGAACGGTCCAAACGTTGCGATGATAAAAGCAAAGATAGTCCGCTTGTAAATAATGTAAGTTTGTATTTCTATCTGAACACATAGCTACGGAACTTGAGTCTGAAGCTTTGAATTTTAGGATTTTTGCGGCACAGTTTAAAAAGCAACTAATGATGTCAATATCTGCTGAGTAACGCACGTGATATTATTTATAGGATCATTCTGACGAAAAGGTATTCATTCAACCATTTACTCTTGTCTTAGTAGCAAATCCGACAGACCAGACAAAGTAAACCTGACAACTATTCTAGAAAAAAACCTCCAATCAGTGGTTAACTGGGACAAGAAATGGGTGGTGAATTTTAATGCCTTCAAAATAAAACTGTTTTCATTTAATCACCACGGAGAATCTTTTTGGCCTGCTATCGGTATGACTGATACTAAACTCCAAGAGTAACACTTTGCGATTTCTTGGCCTCACGTTTTTCATTGACTATGAAGCGACATGAGCGACTATATCGGATCAAATGCTACATCTACTGCAAGGAAGATTGATTCACTGTATCGTACCAGAAGATTTTTATCTAAGTAGAAGTTACCTCAACGCTATAACTTCTTAGTGTCACTGGTATCAACTAAAAAACAAGACGCTTGAGCAATGATAAGAAATTACCACAGCCTGGAAGATCATCAAAGGTTCATTGCTGGGTTCTTCGGTGCCATGGTATTTACTCGGTAATGGCTATTTCTTCTCCTATGTAATATATGACAATTTGTACTGGATTACAGCCTAAGGAGTGAGCTACCGAGGATTACAAAATCAAGACGATTTAACTATTTGAATAGTTTAGTAATAGATAACGGAAAATGTGACACAGAAATCCGAAGGCTCAAAGGAAGAGTAAAACGTGTCCTCCAGAAACTAAACAAAGTATTAAGAGAGAGGAAAATATCATTAGAGTAAAAGAATAGATAGCTGAACTGCTACTTAATAACCAATCGCATATTTGGCAGTGAATGTTGAACAAAAGATTTGAAATGACATAGATGCAGTTGAACCAATGAATGGACAAACATGAGAGTAACGAGAAAGTTTTAATAAAAATAGGAACTGCTAGGAAACTTGTACTTACAATAAGAAAGAAATAGTTGGAATTTCTGGGATACATGAGAAAAGAATGCCTATAGAATTTGACACTCAAATGGCATAGTGATATATTTGTTCGAAATAGCAAAGTGGTTTTGGACTACTGTAACCGAGTAGGACAATCTAGCAGGTAACCGAAATGGATTGATCCTCGTCGTAGTGGTAGACAATAGGCGTAGCCAATAGGCGTAGTCCATGTACCTCCACATTAGTCTGTATTTATGGCTGACACCAGCCAATCATATTACTGTGAGGGGGAACCCAGGTGTATGCATATTCATTACATCAGTAAATGTAGCAGCGGGAAACAAAGAGTAACCTACTTAACGATTTTGCGTGAATGGATGGCATAGAACAAGGACTAAAATAAATGGTAATGGGTAAAAAAAAAGTTAAAGCCACTAAAGAGAGGAAGTTATGGAGAGCCATGATTTCTCACGTCCTGGTAACTTGTATACTTCCAACACAAACGTCTTTGCGAAGTAATATTCATAAATAGATAGTGTGCCTCGGATTCTGCGAAGTACAAGACTGGGTGCATCTCGGAATAGGACGAATTTATTTCACTTTTAAGGACGTTATTTTATTCCCCTCAAAGTTTCTATTATATAATAACATACTTTGCTAGCCTGAAATATAGTCAAGTCAAACCAGACGGTTAAGAAATGTATGGAACGTAACTGCAACCAATAGTGAATAAGGAAATAGGTTGAAGTTTCATTACCAAATTGCTAGACTATATTTGCAAGAAGGTAGAATTACTACTATATGATACGTAACTAAAACCAATTCTGAATAAGAAAAAAGAATTCACTGCCGTTAGATTCAAGCGTTAGCAGAATGTAGGAGAACGACAACAGTGCGGGATAAAATTGTAGCGTTAGGATGACTGTGTGAAGGTCAAAATTCAAGACGAAACAAGAAACAATGACAGCCACAATGAAAATTGTTTAAAACACATACGAAAAAATCTGTACTGCTTATGAAGGATATACTTCAAAGAGCTTCTCTACCAGAATTTTGCAACAAGAAAGATACAATTATGCTCGGATTCTATGTGTATGTTATTTTTGTACTTACAAAGAAAAAACTTTGCCGTGTAGTCTATGTAGAATAAGACTAATTATAAAATAAAGTCACCTTAACAATTAAAAACTTACCGGACGTACGAAGAGAAAATATCATAACAAATGTCAAAATGCCGAGAAAAATGTCGGGTAAGTCATCTCATAAAATTGTCGGGTAAGTCATCTCATAAAATTGTCGGGTAAGTCATCCCATAAAATCGTTGGGTAAGTCATCCCATAAAATTGTTGGGTAATCCAATAAAATTTTTGGGTAAATCATCCCATAAAATCGTTGGGTAAGTCATCCCATAAAATTGTCGGGTAAGTCATCCCATAAAATCGTTGGGTAAGTCATCCCATAAAATCGTTGGGTAAATCATCCAATAAAATTTTTGGCTAAATCATCCCATAAAATTGTCGGGTAAGTCATCCCATAAAATCGTTGGGTAAGTCATCTCATAAAATTGTCAGTTAAGTCTTCCCATAAAATTGCAGTTGTCACGTTGGGAATCAGCAATTATTGGAATAGCTGGTGGAAATAAATTTACCTCATCATCCCAATATAAAGTCTACAATCGCTATCCCACAGACGTGCTGTGGCCTCCCTCTGTCTCTTCTACAAATATTTTCACGGCAACTGTTCCGACGAGCTACTTTCGCTGGTTCCCGGACTACATGAATTTCACTGTCAAAACAGCTTCTTCTCCTGCACTTCCCGTCTGCGGAACTCCCTTCCTAAAATTGTCAGTTAAGTCTTCCCATAAAATTGCAGTTAGATAAAAGGCTTGTCACGTTGGGAATCAGCAGTTATTGGAATAGCTGGTGGAGATAAATTTACCTCATCATCCCAATATAAAGTCTACAATCGCTATCCCACAGACGTGCTGTAGCCCCCCTCTGTCTCTTCTACAAATATTTTCACGGCAACTGTTCCGACGAGCTACTTTCGCTGGTTCCCGGACTACATGAATTTTACTGTCAAAACAGCTTTTTCTCTTTCACTTCCCGTCTGTGGAACTCCCTTGCCCTTACTTGCTTCCCCGATGACTATAATCTTCAAATATTCAATTGTAATGTCAATCGACATCTGACACCCTGAACTTGATTCCCGTCCTTCTCTGTATCCTTTCCTCAAATACGCCTCTTTACTTTTGTTCTCAATCCTCTGTAACCCCTTGCGTATTAGTGGCACTCCCGCTTTGCTTAGGGTAGTTTGCCTTAAAAAA